GGAAACCAAGCTAAGTAATATCAGTTCTGACCTTTTTTACCTGTCTCTAGGATTCCTCAATGCCCCCCCCCAATCATTTCTTAATCATGATACCTGGTGTGGAGCCCTTGCCTCCTCTCCCTCGTTTGAATTCGGGGTCCTTGAGAGTAAGGATTGTTGTCTTTGCTTGTATTTATATCTTTAGTGCTTGCATAGTACTTGGAATGTAAGCGCTTAATAAATGCCTTATTATCTTGACAAATCACCTTACATTATGTCATGCCATATCATATCATATATTGTATCATATCATATAATGTGATATCATGCGATTTTTGTTATTGTCTGGTCAGTCTCATTCATGTCTGACTCTTCATGATCCCATTTGGAGTTTTCTTGGTAAAGATATTGAAGTGGTTTACCATTTCCTTCTGCAGCTCATTTTACAGATGAGAAAACTGAGGCAAACAGAGTGAAAAGATTTGCCCAGGGTCACACAGCTAACAAGTGTCTGAGGCCAGATTTGAACTGAGGAAGATGAGTCTTCCTGACTCCAGGACCAGCACTCTATCCACGGTGCCATCTAGCTGCTCCATATGGTATGATACCAGATTATATTGCATTGTATTATACTGTACTATACTATGTTATGTTATAATATATCATATCATATCATATCATGGTAGAAAGAGTCCTGCCTTAGCAGTCATGGGGTTTGGTTTGAGATCACACCTATGATGTTTACCACCTTTGTGACCTTGGGTAAATCACTTAACTTTCATAGGCCTTGGTTTCCTCATCTGTAAAATGAAAGGGTTAGACTAGATGGTGTCTGATATACCTGTGACCTTTGCATCCTCTGAAGTACATCTGAACTCTAAATCTAGGCCCCTGGGTGACGCTTATATAATACTTTAAGGTTTGCAAAGCTCTCAGCATGTGTGACTTGATTTGGACCTCACAACAACTCTGTGAGGTGGGTACCCGTATTAACTTTATTTTACACATCTCTATGGCTCCATGGCCTGGAGCATGTGTGCGGATGAGCCTGTGCGGTGGCTACACCTGCTGACACACATTCTAGCTAGGACACATCATGAGATGTAGAGTCTACACCCTGGCTGCTTCGGGCAGGCTATGCACTTTGTCCTTTTAAAGAGAACAGGACTGTGCCCTCCCCCTCCCTGTGGGCTCCGCCTTCTTCCTGCTCCTCTCCGTGCTCTTCATTCTCCTGTCCTCCCCCCTCCCCTACCATGATGGGGGCCACTGAAAAGCAAGAGCTGCCCATTCAGTAGGGTTTTTAAAAAAATTATTTTACTTTTAATTCATGGCATAAAACAAACATTTCCATAACATAGTGTAATAAAAAAGATGATTGCACATGAATCTGCAACTCTATCATGCACAATTTGTTATTCTTTTCAAATATACAACAAAATCATCACATATATTTTTTGCTTTTTTCTTTCTTCCCCTTCCACCCTAGAGTTGGCTACCATTAGACACAAATTGGTATATGTGTATACACACATAACTATATATACATATATGTAAAATTATTTCATACATACTTCTATTTATCAGTTCTTTCTCTGGATTCAGATGTCTTTCTTCACATGTCCTATATAGTTAATGTGAGTATTTATAACAGACAAAATAATTTATTAGTTCACAGTTATTCTTAAAACAATTTTGCTGTTACGTATACAATGTTCTCTTGGTTCTGCTCGTTTCACTCTTGTTATTTCATGCAAGTCTTTCCAGGTTTTCCTAAAATCATTGAGCTCGTCATTTCTTATAGCCCAGTAGTATTCTATCATAATCATATACCACAACTTGTTCATTCAGTAGGTTTTCAAAGGAGTGATGTCTACCCTCTTCCTTCTTTCCTTCCTCTCTTATATTCATTTAGCTTGAGAACTTAGATCCCTCTCTGCTTGGACTTTGTTGGGGGGTGGTGCAGTGTTTGAACAGAGCAAAGAAAACATGTGTTTGCCTGGTTGAGGCTGAAATTGGATCTCCAAGACCTAGATACTTAGGTCCCTTTCCCCAAGTACAGATAACCTGAAATGAAGCTTTTCAAGCCTAGGAATCACCTCAGGAGTTCAGGTGTTCCTGGGATCCTCAGTTGATGCTGACTGTTCTGCAGAAGGTGCTTCCTACCACTCCTCAGAGCATCCACGAACAGTAGTGCTGGTATAAGCCATGCCCTGACTTCCCAAAACATAGAGCTTGAACTAGTACTTGCACAGTGTAGAGCTGAGTGAAGGTGATTTGCCTGTTCAGCAGTCCCACAGTGTTCATTTTTTAATATTAAGTATCAATCTTTTAGGAGCATAGAATATATATATTATATAATAACAATATATATATAATATGTGTTATATTATATTATACATAATAATATAATATATTATATATTATAATATATAATAATATAATAACACTGTATAAAATATTATTGTATCATTTTAAAAGTATTTGTCAATTTAGGTTTATGAGTCTTTTGTGTTTTATACATTTATGTTGTAGTGGAGAAATAAATAGCTGTCCTATACCCAATCTACTTAGTATAGAGAGTCTCTCTCTAGAAAGGAACCTGTTAATAATCCCTTTTGGGAGGAGATCCTAGAAATGAGACAAATCTAAGCTTTGTTTAAGAGATTGTCCTGTCTCCACAATTCTATTCAGGGGAGCTAATGGTTATGAGAAGAGTGTCTTTGGAGGAGACATGTAAGCCCAGAGCTGGAGTTTCCTACTGGGAAATTGAAGCCAGAATGGCTATTACTTAACCTCCCATCACAGAGTTATTAGTCAGGATTTGAACTCAGATCTTCCTGACCCAGGTCCAGCATTCTATCTCCATTCCATGCTGAGGGTTCATTATTAAAACTGCCTTATTTATTTCACATTATTAACTTTCATTCACTATACATTCCAGTCAAAGTGACTTACTTTTTTGTGGTTTAGTGATTTTATTTTTTTGTTATTCTGGACTTGACAAACCATATATACATTTTCATAGACAAAGAACGTTAGGAAAGTGACATATATGAAATGTCAAATCTTTATTAAATATAGCCTACTTAAAAATTATATAATAAATTCAATGCAGTTTCAAAGCTGTCCTGCTTGTCTATCTCCCTCTGATTGCGCATTTGAAAAATTTATCAATGAACTTCTCTTCCTTATGTTTTTTTTTGGGGGGGTTGTCTTCCCTCTAACCTTTTTCCTATGTTAAATTGAAAAAAAAATTCTCCCTTCTAAACAAATGCATAGTCAAACAAAATAAATCCATACATCAACAATGTCTGAAAATTATGTCTTCTGCTTTACCTCTAATCCATCATCTTTCTGTCAGTAGGAAGGAAGCATGCTTCAACATTGGCCTCTTACATCCTATTAAGTCATTGCATTAGTCAGAGTTGTTGTCTTTCAAAGTTGTTTTTCTATACAATATTGTAGCCATTTTATACATTGTTCTCCTGGTTTTGCTCGCTTCAAGCTGTGTCATTCATTGGAGTTTTTACAGGTTTCTCTGAATTGATCACTTTCATTATTAATTAAAGCACAATAATATTCCACTACACTTATATACTTTAATTTGTTCATCTCACTTAATGGGCTTTCCCTCCAGTTTGCTGTAACAAAGTCATGTTATAATTTTTTTTTTTTTTGCAACATGGGAACTTTTCCTTTTTCTTAGATCTCTTTTAGCTATTTGCCTAGGAATGGTATTGCTGGGGACAAGGGTATGACCAATTTGTTGTCTTTTGGTGAATATTTTTAGACTGATGCTGTGAATTACTCCAGTCATTCTAGTTATTTTCCTCTTTTCTCATCTTTATCAATCTGATGGGTATGAGAAAGAACTTTAGAGTTGTTTTAATTTGTATTTATGTTATTATTTTTTCATATAATTGTTGGTATTTTGGATTTCTTCCTTGGAGACATGCCTGTTTATACTTTTGACTCTTTATTTATTAGAGTCCTCATCTGTTTTTCCTTGAAATTGGTACTCCATCTCCTATCATGGGCTTTCCTTCATGCATGGAATTAGATTCTTTTCTTACCTTGGCCTCTTACCTTCTTTCAAGGCTCAGCTCATATGCTTCCTCTTATAAGGAGTTTTTCCTGACCCCTAATAGTGGTTAGTCCTATCTCCCTCTTTGTTTCACCTTACCCTTATCTAGGTACATGTAGTGGCTCTCCAGTAAAATGTACACTTTTTGAGGGTAGGGACTATTTCATCTTCATCTTTGCATCCTATTACCTTGCATAGGAATTTGCCCGTGGTAGGTGCTTATGAAATATTAGTTAAATTGAATTGACTTTATCATCATGCCATTTTACCTATAAGGAAATCCCAGGTGACACAATCTGGAGGACCCATTTTTTCATCTGTTGGGGCTGTGATGATTTGAGGCAAATTCGAGAAAAATGTTTTGGAGAAAACCTTTACCCACTACCTTTACAATTCTGAGGAATTTCATCCCACGGGCTTTTTGCTCTGGGTCAGCACCTTATCACCATGTTATGGCATAGGCAACTCTGCTGATGAATTTATGCAAAAAAAACCCAAAACACCTAGATCACACTTCCTTTCTAAAACCAAATTTGAAACATCTGTGATTAGTTCTTGATTTCATGTTGGTTGTAGACTGCTGATCTACATTTATTTAAAGAGGGTACTGCCTTAGAAATGGCTGGATTTTGAACCTATCTTCTTGTGGTTGTTTTTGTTGTTGTTGTCATTTACGAGCCACATAATTAGGTCGGCTGATGAGATCAAGATCACGTAAATCGACTCAAACATCTATTTCCGAAGAAATTTCAAGTCAGCTGTCAGTGTTGATTAGGCAGAAAGGTAAGGGTTTGGAGGAATTGATCCTGTGTTCCTTTTTACTTGTGTACTACAGATGGTTTCATAGGAACCTTAAGAGAAGTAAAAATAGTCACACAGGTGTTCATCTTAAGGAAGATGAATAAATTTGGTCTACCTCCCTTCTGATTGGGGATGACTCTTTAGAATTTTGAAGGTGATCATTTTTACGATCTTTACCCTTGGGTTTCTGCTCTTGTAACTGTTATCCAAGTCCCCATCTTTTAAATTTAATGGTCCAATAGGAAATTTCAGGAGAGCTAAAATTGATTTGTCTATTTACTTACCTCTTTTAAATGTAAAATAAAATTGCATTTGTGTGTAAAATCCCTCAGCACCAATGAAAACTGCAACTCTACATTTGCTGAGATAGATCTTTATTTGTCTACTGAGAGATCTTAAACTTTAGTTGGCTTTTATTAAATCTTTATGAGAACAGGACTGGTGAATGACTTTTCTCCAAGCAAATACTTTTTCCTATTGTTTCAATGAAGGAACATATTCTAAATTCTAGGACTTGTTCTGTTGGATAAAGTATTTAATGTTTTTAAAAATGCAAGCAAAATTAAATCAGAACATAGATGTGCTTTTAAGCAGAATTATTCTTGTAAATAAATGGAATAGGCATACCTTTAAGGCCCTTATCCAAGAGTCTTTTGTTGCCCAAATTTTCACCATTAATTATAGAAACCTAGCTTGAAGGAAAAGATCCGTAGACATTATGTGTGATCTCATATGCCTATCAGGTATCACCTATCTGTGATACCTATCAGATGAAATTATAAAGTCAGATGTTACTAATTGAAGAATTAATTTTGTCTGTGCTTTGGACTTTCCATTGTTACCACCACCTTTCATGATGTTTACTTTTATTAAGTACATACTGTGTAGAGAGAGAATATTTTATGTAAGAATGTTCAGTAGTCTAAGAACTGAATTTAAAACATTACATTTCCCTAGCCTAGCATCTAATATCTAAGTCCCATAGAATTTTAGATTAGGAGGCGGTAGGAAAGCTGTTGTTTAGTTATTTCAGTTGTGTCCAACTCTTCAGGACCCATCTGGAGTATTCTTGGCAAAGATGCTTTTGTTTGCCATTTCCTTCTCCAGCTCATTTTATAGATGAGGAAACTGAGGCAAACATGATTAAGTTACTTGCCTAGGATTACACAGCTAGGAAATATCTGAGGCCAGATTTGAACTGTACCATCTAGGTGCCTATAAGAAAGCTTACCATTATGTAATGGAAGATTTGTAGAAAAGGGGCTCAATCTGTGATTTACTGACTTAGCGTACTCCTGGGGTTAGGGAACTCCCTCCACCAATGCAGATTGGCACCTTCTCTTTAATTTATAGTCTGACAGAGTTACCCAGGGCACTGAGAGATTAAGTGAGAGATGAGCCTTGAACTAAAGTCTTCTTGGCTCTGAGATCATTACTCTAACCCTTATTCCAGGGGGCTCTCTATTATATCAGCTACTCTCTGCAGGATTTTTTTTTCTTGAATACCCTCTGCTTTCCTCACAAAGAGGCAGAGTGGTATGGATCTGAGTTCTAGCGTTTTCACTAACTACATTTGGAAACTTGGACAAAGCCATTTGTCCTCCCTTGGAAGTTTTCTAACCCATAAAATTATGGATTGGGTTAGAAATCTAAGGGTGTTTTCAACATTGATAGTGGTGATAAGGATGACAAAGATCATGGCCAGGACAACTATGAAGATGACTTTTTCCTTTTACTTAATTGTCATAAAGTTTGATTGACACTATGCTTTGATATTTTAGGACTTCAGGTAGGTTATTTCTGCATTCCTTGCTGATTCTGCTACAAATAAGGACTCCAGGACCCAGGGAATGGGTTCAGTCTCAGAATTAGTCAGAAGAACTCCTGAAGAGGGCAGCTTTTGGTTGGATTTACTAGTGGGACTGAGGTCGACAGAATATAGAAAGGGGGGAATAAGAAAAGTTATATTAAGTGAAGAGCCTTTTTTTTAAAGCTGAGATCTATGTGTAGAAATCTTTTTATCTGATAGCATATATTTCATATACAATTATCATTAAGGTTGTCCTAGCAGCCTCTTAGTTCTTACATGTTTTCCCTACTTGCTTTAGCAAGAGTAATTGCTTTTCTGTAATAAGGAAACATAGCCTTTCCATTTTTACTATTAGAGCTATGATCATGTAACAGATGAAAACCGCCTCAAAGGAGAAAAAAAAACCTTAAAACAAAACAAAACCTCACACAAAGATAAAGTGCATCCACTGTCACCACTACCTCTTTCTAACAATGTCTTAACTGAACTTCTCTGCACGTCAGGAGAAAATGCTGGATTCATCTCTGCAGGCTTATCAGCATGTTGCTCATGGGGTCATTGTTTTAAATACTTTGTGGTCCTCGTCTTAGTATTTCATAGTATTTCATTATTGTAGAGGGAACAAGGGAGAGAAGGAAGGAAGAAGAGAGGAAAGAAGGAGGGGAGAGAAAAATAGAGGGAAAGAAGGGTAGATGGAAGGAGGGGAAAAAAAGGAAGAGAGGAAAGAAGGAAGAGAAGCAAGGAGGGAGGGAGGCAGAGATGACCAGGAGAACTTTATATGATGCAGTACCTTCAGAATATGGCTCATAATGCTTCTACAGCTAAGCATGGTCAATATTAAGCTTTCCTTTTGTAGTTTGGGTGTCCATATCTGTACAATATAGTTCTCTAAGATGGGTGTCTTTAGTATTTAAAATTATTTAATTTATTTTATTGTCCTGGATGTTTTATAGCTTTTAAATTAGAATATGCATTTTTTAAAAATTATATTTGCACACATACATACATTTGGGTAATGGGGATGCAATATTACTTGGGTTGAAAAACAGAATAGAGTCTACAATGCCATTTCATGGGTTAGAGAGTTCTCACTATATCATTTTAACTATTCTCACTCTTCTTATTAGGTATAATACTAGAAGAAGAAAATTGAGCAAAACCAGTGTACCACTGAAGACTCCTTTTGTTTCTGCTGGGGTTTGGAAACATCTCCAGGTTTGTTTGGCTCTTACATCAATTTTTTTAAAAAAATCAAATTTCTTCATTTTTAAAATATTCATTAATTTACCTTAATCTATTTACCAAAAGAAAATAATATATCCAAATGCAAATACAAGAAATGGGATGGAACCAAGAAATTAAAAACACAGCATATTTCAAACTGTCCCTGGTGAACTTAAAATTCATGAAGGAATGAAAAATGACTGCTTATGGAGACATGCTGAATAATATACGTGTACTAAGGAATTACTATACAAGAAGTTCTCTGGTGTTTCTGAGTGCTAGAACAGACTGTTTTCTAACAGTACTAGGGACTGTTTTCAAGTTTAGAATGAAGTTCCCCCCACCCCTTACAAACACAGTAATCTACCTAGTATCTGTAGCTAGTAAAGTCTTAAAAATAGTAATATTTGGGAGACAGAATGGATTATTTTCTAAAAAGTGTTCTGAGAAAATTTCTAGCGTATGTACATATGTATACATACACATATATGTGTGTATACACATGCATATATTTAAATATACGTGTATGGATACAAAAATAGATATTGATAGATACAGCCTTGAAATCTTCACAAGCAGAGCGATTTACAGACTGGCTTCCTACGTTGCTCAGCCTTTTTGCTTATTATGCAGCATTTGTTTTTCTATAGTTTATTGACCCTTCTTCCTTGAACGCCCTGTTAGTACTTGGGGACACCAGTGCCATCCTAAGGGAGAGTGAGGAAGAGTGGAGGGAAGAAGAGAGGTGATTCCTGAAGTTGCTAGCCTTTCCACCTCCTTCGACCTGGCGCGTACAATTATCCAAGTAGCATCAAGTGACAAGTGGCAGCCTTAAAATCAGAAGTCTTTGGTGGTCGGGGTGCAGTGGGGGGGCAGAGGAGGGCAACCCTATTTGATTTCCTTGATTTCTAAGGCTGTGAGACTTCTCGGACTCTGCGCTCTCCAAGGCTTTGCCGAGATGTAAGGTCCCCCCAATATGGCTCTGTAGAGCCAAGTTTGGAGCGCCACAACCAGAAGATTGGTCATCAGGTGGTGATATTTTTCAGCCCCTATGAGCTATCGAGACAGCCTACTAAGGATTGCAGGGAGCTCCAGAACAGTTGAAATTATTTGTCCTTTTTCTAGGAATCACAATCTTGTTTCTCTCTTTCTCCCCCGTTTCTCTGTCTCTGTCTCTCTCTGTCTCTCTCTCTCTCTCTCTCTCTCTCTCTCTCTCTCTCTCTCTCTCTCTCTCTCTCTCTCTCTCTCTCTCTCTTTCTGTCTTTCCCTCTCTCTCACCCCCTCCTCTTGCCCTCCCCCCCCACTCTCTTCCCCAACTCTAAAGACACCATGGCAGGAGGGCTGCTTGTCGATTCCGCCCTCCTCGCCCTCCACCTCAGACGCTACATCCTTCTTGTCCTCGAGACTGTCTTTAAATTCTTGAGCAATGAAGGGCTTTACGTTTTTATTTGAATAGCAGGCACTTCCAAGAAAGATTTCAGGCCATTAATCAGAAGCACCTACGTGCGGGGGAATCCAGTGGAGCATAAATCCTGCAGGCGGGCGTTCAATTTCAGTGAGAGGTAAAGCTCATTGAGGTTGATCTGAAATTGGGTGGGAACACAACAGACTCAGAGAGGTACTGAAAGTAGGGCTCGGGTTTAATAAAATAAATTCCTGCAAACAGCAGCATTAGTTTGGGGGCAGAAAATGTCCTTTTTAATATTATTTTTTAAAACCAATTTTCGAAGGTTGGATTTCATCAATTCTCAGGAATGCCAGGGGAAATTCCATTGCAGATTGCTCAACTGTGCAACATTGCCCGTGATCTCCCGGACTGGATCAAACCTTATCTCTCTCTCTTTATGAGGGGTCACTAGTTTAGTCCTATTTGTGATAATGTCACTTCATCAATTTCAAAACAGGAGGCAAGTGCAGTGCCAGGTAAACAGGGCGTGCTAAAGGGACATTAAACTGCCGCGCTGAACCTTATCGGGAGCCTTCTGAGAGGTAGAGTTTGGAGCAATTATGTCAGATCTCTAGGTTAAAGACTTGGTGTCTCATGAGCCTCTGCTCTAGACGTAATTTATAGTGAAAGGAGATAAGATTTATTGACATCCTCATTAGGAGAATTGTTTGATACTGGCCATTTATATTAAGTCCTCCCACTGAGAAATGAGCTATTTAACATGTTTCCACACTAATATTCCTGTCTTATTTCAAGTATCCTTGCATTTTTTTTTATTATTACATACTGAAACAACGGTAAAACTTGCTCAAGATAAGGAGTAATTCAACTGTTTTTTTCCCCCTAATACAGAGAGGACGGTCTATACAATCCAAAGCACTGCTGAATTTGGAGCCTGAATCCAGTCCTGGCTTTGCTTACTACCTGAGTCATCTCAGGCAAGTCCCTTCACTTTTCTGAGCCTCAAGTTTCCTCATCGTAAAAAAGGAGGGGGCTGAGCTAGGTGACCGTTGAGGATCTTTCCAAGCTTGAAATTCATGGTCCTGCCATACTACTGACTTGTTACGGCAGCATGATGGATTTCAACTGATCCATCCTCACACTTCCATCATGGAAGAGAACAAATAATTCTGGCCATTCTATCATTGCATAATCCCTTCCTGAAATGCATAGGGCATCCCCTCTGACCTCTCTCTTCCTCTTGTCCCATCTTCCTAGGAATCCTCCTTACAGGATAAAATGTCTCATAGGGTTATTACGAGAATCCAGTGAGATAATGCCTATAAAGTGAATTTAATTTCTATATAAAAGCAATTATCAAATTCTTACAGAAAGCCAGCTGAGTGATCTATGAGACAGTTCATTGGTGGCGAGGTGGTCCAGATGTTTTAGAAGAAATGGGAATGGGGAACCTCACTCAGGTGTACCCGATTCCTTTTCCAGCCATGTTGTCATAGGCAGGAAGGTACCAAAGACTGGCCATGGAACTGGAAGTTTCCAGCATGAGAAGCTCCAGGTGTGTGTGGGGAGAGGCTTGTTTAGAAAAAGAACCAGTATAGGTTTAGCAAATAGGGATAGGGACTGTCACTGGAGCAAGGTGAGGCCCAGAAAACCCATAGGTTTTTCAGAATATTACAAATTCCTATTGGAGATATCTAACAGTTTTGTTCCATTGCTTTGGTATCATTTTCAAAAATTAACTGGCAAAAAAAAGAGGTATATCTTTTTTTTGATTGTATAGTGAGAAAGAGTGACTTCTTTGAAATACTATCATGAATGTAATTAAAAGTAACTTTACCAAAATAGACAAAATTTCCCTGTGGGCTTTATAGTGTCACCATATTACATTTTTTCTTTTCTAAGATTCTCAATAGTGAAACTTGTTGAAGTTAATACATATTCAAATTAATTCCCTAGGAAAATAGTCTTCTCAGACAACATCATTATTAGAATAGATAGTATATTTCCCTCTTCCCACACCCCTACCTCAATTTCTTGTTGCACATTTCATTCTACTACTACTACTACTACTACTACTACTACTACTACTACTACTACTACTACTACTACTACTACTACTATGATTACTACTACTACTACTACTATGAGTGGTTTGGTGATGCTGCTGTTAAAAGTAGGGGACAAAGATCAGCTCTAAACTTGTGATTTTACTGGTAAAAGGAACTCCCCACAAGGAAGGCACTATTGACTATTCCCCATGCCTAGAATGTTTTCCTCCTCATCTCTGCCTCCTACCATTCCCAGCTTCCTTGAAGTCCTTTCTAAAATACCACCTTCTACAGGAAACCTTTGCTCACCCTCCTTACTCTAGTGGCCTCTCTCTGTGGATTATATTATCCTGAATATAGCTTGTTTGTGCGAAGTTTGTTGTTTGCATGCTGTCTCCTCCATTAGGTTGTGAGCTCCTTGAGAGCAGGGACTGTCTTGTGCCTTTCTACATGTTCCCAGCATTTAACATAGTACCTGGCACATATTACTTAAAAATTCTAGTTGACTGACTGGCTGACCTCAGCAGTTTAGAGTCTCAGAAAGTTTCCTAGAGCATGGACAGGGTAAGTAACTTGTTTATGATCATAAAACTATCACCTGATTCAGGCCTTCAGCACCTCTTACCTGGACTTTCACATGCAAATGAAGGAGACAATATGTAAATAACTAGGTGCATAAAATATCTATCTATCTATTGATAAATCTATGTATCTATATCAAAGGGAGGAAAAGACAGAGGGAGAGAAGGAGGGAGGGAAAGAGAGAAAGGGATTTAAATATATTGCAGAATTCCTGGAAGGAAGGAGAGAGTAAGAAGACTGGAAAGGAAGGAAGAGGTCAGATTGTGAAGAGCTTCAAACGATAGGACTTTATATGTGATCATGGAGGTAAAAGGAAGACTATGGAGTTTAGGGGGAAGGGGAGAAAGAGATACTTAGACTTATATGTTAGGAATCTCTTTTTGGGAACTGTAAGGAGTCCAGGTAAGAGGTGCTGAAGGCTTGAATCAGATGATAGTTTTATGATCATAGACAAGTTACTCAGGTTCAAGTCCTGTCTTTGACACATATTTGCTCTGTGGTCTTGGGCAAGTCTCTGACCTCTCAGTGCTCTGGACGAATTTCTCTGAGTATAAGCTTCAGAGAGAGGGCCACTGGATTGTAGAAATCTTGGAAGAGAGAAGACAGTGTGAGATGGGAAAGGTAGGAAGGGATGAGGTTAGGAAGGCCCTTCTATTGATCTTGTAGGTAAGAGAGAGAGAGCTAATGGAGTTTATAGAAGGGGCAGGAGGAGGATATGATGTGCTTAGACTTGAAGAAAATCACTTTGGGAGTTGTATGAAGAACAGAATGGAGTTAGGAGAGACTTGAGGCAGGGAGATCCAATTAATAGCAATAATAATGACTAGCATTTATATAGCACTCTAAGGTATATGTTATTTCATTTGATCCTCACAGAAATCCCATGAGGGAGATGCTATGATTATTATTCCCATTTTACAGATGAGGAAACTGAGAGAAGATATATGACTTGGCCAAAGTTGTGCAGATGGTAATTGTCTGAGGTAGGATTTGAACTCATGTCTGTCTGACTCCAGCTGCAGTACACTATTTACTAAGCCCTTCACTGTCTATTGCAATAGTTTAGTTGAGTTGATGAAAAGCCACTAATGTGGCTATGTGATTTGAGACAAGGGGACATATACAAGAGATGAGTAAAGATAGAAATATTAAGATTTGACAACTGACTATATATATAGAGTGAGAGTGAAGAGTCAAAGTGGCAAGCCTGGGTGACTGTAGGGACACCTTGGAAGAGAGAGAGGTTTAGGAGGGATGATTATGGCTTCTGTTGGGGGTATGCTAATGCCTATGGGATATCTACTCTGAAATGTTCAATGGGCAGTTTGTGATGTAGGACTAGAGTTTGGGAAAGCTTCGCCTTTCTGCTGTCCTGGGTTAATGAGATCAGCACCTGTGATCAGTGGCTTGGTCATAGGATTTGGAAAGCTTTGAAGTATCTTTACTTGGTGTGGGATTTTCAAGTGAAATATACAAATAAATGTCTTCTTTTTTTTCTGAAAAATTTTGATCTATATACACTTGCTTGGAAGATAACTGATTTGTGCTATTTATTTCAATGGTGCGTATTATCACACAGGCATGGCACTGTCCATTTGGTGTTTGAGGACTGGCTTAGCCAAGTGTAAAGAGATTTATCTCTAGGATGACTGAAGGGTCTCTATGCACAGTGACTCTTGGTGATTATATAGGAAGTTTTAGGAAGATTGCCTTTGATACCAGTGGAGGGAGTGCCCACATTGACTAAACCACACACACACATACACACACACACACACACACACACACACACACACACACACACACACACATACACACACATACATACATATATATATATGTATATATATGTATATATATGTATATATATGTATATATATGTATATATATATATACATATATATGCATATATATGTGTGTGTGTATATATATATATATATATATATATATATATATATATATGTATATCCCCCTATAGTCATTCAGTAGTAATCAGGAAAGTTGATTCCAGGTCATTTCACAGATAAGTGTCATTTCAATTTTAGCCAAGACCATCTCAAAAAGCTGAAGAAAATAGATTCTATATTCTTTTAATTAGTCTAATTTTAATAAGTAACTGAAAATACTATATATACTTTACTACATATTTTAATAAGTAACTGAAAGTACCAGTCAGTGAAGGAAATGCTCAATGAGATGTTGTCTTGTATTTATAGATTAAGCTGAATCTTCAAATTAGATTTCAAAGCTGGCAAAAAAGAAACCCAGATTTCCATTCTGTTCTCCCCAAGTGATCTCCAGCCCTTTCTTACCAATGGAATAATAAGATTGTTTTTATTGAGTTTCATCACAGGTATGATTTTTTTATTATTAAAGTTTTTTTTTTCCTGACTATTCCCTGTTACAATTGTCTTTCCCTTCTCTGAATATTATAGTGTTTATTATCATTATTGTACATATATTGTACATGGTAATAATAGCTAGCATTTATATAGCACTTTAAGGTTTGCAAAGCACTTCACAAATATCTCCTTTTATCTTATTATATCTTTATATTTTTTCTATTTACTTATGCTATTTATGGAGCATGCAGAGATAAGTTGCCTTGTGCCATTATTCATTTCATCTTTAATGTCTTCTACTAAAGTATAAGCCCTTCAAGGGCAAGGACTAGGCTTTTGACCCGTTGTAAGTCTCCTTTTTGAATCTTTTATAATGCAGTCTGTTTACATGTACATGTGAAAGGAGGGTTAGGAAAGTCAGTAGCAAATGTTGAGAAGGGAACACTGCAAGTCTGTTAGAGAATACACACTCCAGCTATAGTCTCAAAGCTTGCTCATGTAACTATATTTATCATTTATGGGTACCCAGTGGTCTTCTTGTAATATTTTCCTTTTTCTCTTCTGTCTGTGTCTTTTTATTTATGGAAAAGTGTGTTCTTCTCAGCATGTATGTAGCATGGGTATCTATGTGGACTGACTTCCTGTCCTTTTCTTTCATACCCTATTCTAGGTAATGATTATGGCTGTATTGTATACTTTCTGTGGAGGAGCTGTGTGGACAGCTCTTCGGGCCATTCGTTTTTGGAGATCAGCCTCTGCTGGGTTATTAATTGCCTTCTGTTATACTGTGCAAACATGTGCTAACTTGTGTACAGAGCACAACCTCTTTATCACTAAGGAGAAGTTATTTGTGCATTGCTGTGGCCAAACAGTTCACCATCATGTGACCAAATTGGTGATGAGTCTTTCCAAACTTAGCGAGGCTGGTCCTTGGGCAACAAACACTCAGATCATTTCCAGGCCTGTGCTTGCAGCCCTTGTAGCTTCTGTGGCCCTGCCATATCTTCTGCTTTTGTGAAATAGCCTCCAGGTACCCAGGGCCCATTCAAGGACCCATACCCTAGGGAGGCATCAGAGGATGACCTTAGTGCAGGAGACCTCTATGAGATGTACGAAGAAACAGATAGCAGGAGCAGCAAGAACAGCAGTAATAACATAATATTTTAAGGTTTGCATATGTCATCCATTGGATTAAATTGAACTGTATAATAGTATTTAGTTGTCAGTTTTTAAAAGGCAGTATGGGTGATTTTCTATGTGACCTCTTATTTTCAATAGAATATGATCATCATGGTGATTATTTTCCTGTTTCTCATTGGGTCAGCGGTGGTACTACAAACAAATTCATGTCTGGAAAAACAAAGTAAGTAATAGCTATAGAGATTCAAATGTATTTCTCTTTTTAGTAATAGTAAATTAAGCACATTAATTTAAGTAGAACCTCAATTGGAGAATTGTGTGCATATGAGTATATACATATATATGTATGTGTATATATCTATATCTATATCTAATATTGGAGGGAGATGTTCCTGCCAGGATATGTGTCCTTTAAATATACTATTGTAATAGATATTTCTCTGGCCTCCATTGCCTGAAGGTCAGGTATGTTTCTTTCCCCAAAGGTTCTGTGGTTTCGCTGGGAGGCTGGGATTCTCTCATCTCTGCCAGTGGAAGAGATGCCACACACAGAATTGTGTGACATGTTATTTTATCTCAGGGACACTCCTTCTAGGAGCAGGAATATTAAAGAAAACTACCTGAGAAGAATGGGCAGTCCCTACCCCACCCTTGTCTTATTTCAGCTTAATTGTGTGTTTTTTTAAAAAATCTATTAAAGTATAAATTTGCCTTATTTAATATTATTTCTCATGAACAGCCATGGTTGACCTTGACCTTGAGTTGCTGGGTATCCCATTATTTTCAGAATGTAAGTCCAATGGGAGGCATACAAGAAAGAGGGATTTTATATTTATCCTTCTTCTGCCTCACCTTTCCCTTCCCTTTCCTCCCCTTCCTCCTCTTCCTTCTCTTCCTTCTACCTCTCCTGAGCTGGAAGTGTAACACCATCCCACTACTGGTCACAGAAAATTTGACTTGCTACATTTTTGACCCAGGCAAGATTGGCTCTTCATAGGCAGCTTCGTGGCCCCCACTGCCAGGGGCTCATCATATTGGTGAGAGACTTAATGTGGACACTTGGTTGGTTTTAGCCCTACTGTAGCTCAGAATTCCTGAGCTCAAGCAATCTACCAGTTTCAGCCTCCCTAGCGGCAGGATCAGGAGTGCATCACCATACCCAACTCATTTCATCTTTTTTTAGAATTGCTGCATTATTCTGCTTTTTGGAGCCCCTCAGTTCTGTCGTTCAAAGTATTAGATCTTCCCCTAACAGTTTGAACTTAATGGTGAAGGAAGAGAAAATTGACCTGTGGCTGTATGCAGAAACCTTTTTGAAATTTTGGCTGCCTGAGCCACATGATTTAAAGAACCAAAATGGACCAAACAGTTGTTTACATGTAGACAAAGCCCAACAGACATTTTGGGGAAAATGAGTAACCAGTCAGAAGTGAAAGAAGATGGTGATGCATTAAAGAACCAACCTGTTTTCAGTGCCTATTTAATCATCCTAGTTAACAATAGACAAGTGGTCTGAAAATTGTTAATCATATGGCGTAATATCCATTGTTTAAAAATGTAAACAAAGGACAAACAACAACAAAGGTGAGCTATTTGGATTAGAAAATGTATAGAGAAATCAAATTTGACTTCGAGATGCTTTCTAATATAGATTATTATTTATGCTAATGAACCTAATAATTATAATTCATCTTTTTGTGCCAGGCAATGTCTAGAGCAGGGATTCTTAACTTTTATTATTTCATGGAGCCCTTGGGCATTCTGGTGAAGCCTACAGACTCCTCAGAATGTTTTTAATTACATAAAATAAAATACATAGAATTATAAATGCAAATAAGTTACATTGAAATAGTTATATATTTTAAAAAATCATGGGCCGAAGGTTAAAAACCCCTGGTTTAGAACAATGGTTTTAGTCATTTGATTTTAATTTCCAATATAAAAATGAACATTATATTGCTTTTTTTTCTCCCTTTTAATTCAACAGTTTCACTTCTCCCACCTGTAAACTTCACTGTTATAGTAACTGGTTTATCTAAAGTTCTTTTACAATGGAAACCGAATCCTAACCAGTATCCAAAGATAAATGGCATAAAATATAAAGTGAGAATTAATACTCCAAACGAGGATGATGTGAGTATTAAAGATATGTATATTTCTTGCGCACAGTCCATTTAATTCAATTTTCTACATGATACATAATTTCAAACTCAAACCCGCTGAGGAAGGCAGATGGAGGAGAGAAATCAGTCTGACTCAGTCTTCCTACCAAAGTGATCCTCGTTTGTGTCTTGATATCATAGAACAGACTCTGGGGGAAGTGATTGAAATACTGTATTTTGCGTCCTGAGTAGCACTAATGAAAGCAAAGGAAATGTAGCTGTATTCTAAATTCTTACTATTGACAAAGAACATGTGCTAGAATTTGCAGCTTGGTTTTTTGGAAATTTTTTTTAATCTAAATTAGAAAACAGAAGAGCCCATCACACACATAATGTGGAAATCCGCAGGAAGTTCACATGTTGATTTTTATCCAGCTGCAGATATCGCCTAGCAAAGCTGTTTTGTTACATTGTAGTTAGAGTTGTTTTCAGAAATAAGAGACAATGTTTATCTAATTGAAGTGGTCTCCTTATTATGGCTGTTTCCTTACCATGTTTCATGGTTTCTGGGATTTATTTCCAGTATGAGACTCAAAAGACCCAAAGCAGAAGTGTGAGTGTACTTCACCAGGGATTTTCAGCAAGCGTGCAGACAATTCTTCATTGTGATTCCAGTTTTTTCCAAAGTAGTTGGGTTTCAGCTGAACTTCCAGCCCATCCAGGTAAGATGTGATCTGGGATAAGCTTTGATCGTTTGTTGTTGTTGTTTTTTATTGGTGGTGTTCTTGAGACAATCAGGGTTAAGTGACTTACCCAAGGTCACACAGTTAGCAAGTGTCTGAGGCTACATTTGAACTCAGGTTCTCATGACTCTAGGGCCAGTGCTCTATACACTGTACCGTGTATCTGCCCCTAGTGGAGATTTATTTCTACTTCCTTAAGAAATTTTTGTAGAGAACTGTTGGGTATAATACTGAGATATTTGCACTAGTTTTGTTTTGTTTTACCTTGACACATTGCACATGATTGGCTTTAGGCTTTTAATAAATATATGTATTTGACATTAATTTTAGAATGATCATTCTTAATATGTTCCTATTATTGTCTTTTTTTCATAGTGAAGTTGTAAATTCAGCCACCCAGTATGCTTGTTAAAATGCATTTATTGGCATTTGCTCTACTTAGCCAGTGGGCTGATTGGTTTGACAGAACACGTAAAATGGTATGAGAAGGAATTAAAACCCTTGATTTCCAGAAGGGAGGGGAACAGACACATTCATCCTTGGGTGTATAGGGTGGTTTAGTTTTAGTCTAATATAGATTATTTCTAACATAGATTATTATTTATGCTAATGAACCTAATAATGATAATTTATCTTTTTGTGCCAGGCAATGTCTAGAGCAGGGATTCTTAACCTTTATTATTTCATGGACCCCTTGGGCATTCTGGTGAAGCTACAGACTCCTCAGAATGTTTTTAATTACATAAAATAAAATATATAGAATTATAAATGCAAATAAGTTACATTGAAATAGTTACATATTTTAAAAAATCACGGGCCAAAGGTTAAAAACCCCTGGTTTAGAACAATGGCTTTAGTCATTTTATTTTAATTTCCAATATTTCTTTTTATCACTTGTTAAAATTCTTAAGAGGGTGTCAACCTCCACAGTTAGGTCTAGGAAAGACAGAAAGAATTTGGCTCTGTGCATGTTTATTTCTCTCAAAGTAGGCAAGCGTGCATAGGAATGCATGGAAGCTGCAGTCCTGACTGAGCTCCATTTCGATTGTTTATTGTGTGTACTATGGATTGAGAACGAGGAAAAGCACTCTTGCCAAATTAATGGACGACAAGAATTTGTCACAAAATTGAATTGCGATTTTAATCATAATTAAAATTGAGTGGAAATTTTAATAATTTTGCTTAGAAAACAATGAAGCCTTAGACATATCACAAGGCAGGGAGGAAAGGACTCTAAGAAGTATACAAAATCCTAAATAGACATAATAAAGCAAGGTCATCCAGTTAACCACATAATGGTATAGGGGAAGAATGCTTAATTAGGAGTTGGAAGAATTCAATTAGAGTTAAAATGCAGACATCCTGTAGGGACAACACATTAAGCTGTTGTCAGTCATTAACACCTCATTAGGAATTAGTTTCTTAGATTGCTTTTCAAGTTGACAAGGAGCTAAGAAGGAAAGGGACAAAGGGAAGAGAAGTTGTAACTGGGAGGGAGTAGGTAGAGAGAAAGCATCCGGCACCGGCACCGTGGAGGAAGGACTGATCTGGGTAGAGATCCACACGTGGTCAGAAGCAAGACGCACTAGATGTTTGTGGAGTCCTAGAGTAGGAGAAAGGGCTACTGAAAGAAGGGAAATCCCCAACCAACATTTTTCCTACTGCATCATTTTTTGAGGGTTGACACTGGTTATCATCTCTACATCAGTGGTTCCTAATGTGGTCTGTGGACCCATACACACCTGTTTTTTTAGGCAACAACTAAGATGAACCAGAGGTTGAAGAAAATTTGAACCGATAGATATCACCAATACTTTGTGGGATGAAACACAACTGGTATTTGGGTCCAAATCTTTGAAATTGTCACTGAAAATAGTTTGTAAAGAGACCACTCTATTTGATATTTATTCAAAATAGTAATAATGATAGAGTTAGTATTTATATATTTTAAGGTTTTCCAAGTGCTGTACAAATATTATTTAATTTTGTCCTCACAACAATGCTGGGAAGAAGGTGCTATTATTATCCTTGTTATCACCATTACAGATGATGAAACTGAGGCAGTCAGAGGTTAAGTGACTTGCCTAAGGTAACACAGGCAGTAAGTAAATGAGGTAGGATTTTAATTCCTGGCTGCATGTCCAGTGTGGCATTCACTGTGCCACTTAGCTGCCTCAAAAGAAATAGAAAAGATAAAAAGAGGAGTGGGTTATCATAACCTAGGAACTAGAGGGATGGGGGAAGCACAACAGAGAACATCTGACAGATGATCAAAGAATGAGAAGAAATGATTTTGATAATAGATCATGCAGACAGACCACCTGAACAGATGGGGGAAACAGATAAAGATACTGAGAAACAGGTTGTAAGCAGATAGAGCCATAATAGAGTAGAGAAGGGGGACTTCACATATCCAGATACCTCCTGGAGGGAGCTCTCCCTTCTCCTCCTTTAACTGACATGCTCTCCCCCTGTCGCTTCACTCTCCTCTTCCTTCCCCTTCACCTCCCCTATTGTCTCTCCCTCTTTTCCGTCCCCCCCTCCTTACCTCTTCCCTTCTTTCCCTCTCTCTCCTCTCTTCTCTTCTGTTCTCTCTCTCTCTATCCCTCCCTTTCTCCCTTCCTCCCTCCTCTTCAGTTAAATTTCTTGATAAGTCTTTGTGAAAGTTTTATCCTTCAAAAAGTGAAGGCATCGGCAAAGGAACATTCTCTTCTGGATTCTGGTTCTCACTAACAGGGAAGCACGGGTTGCTGGGGTGAAGAGACAGGGAATCTGAGGAAGGTGACCTTTCCATCCTAGAGTTTGTGGTAGAGAAAGGAGGTTAAAGCCAGTTGTCATCTGAAATATGCTCTGTATTTGTGAAAAGCAGATGTCAAAGGATGGAATATCATGGATTAAAATTCTACAGGATAAGTCAACTCACAAGGACTGGGAAACACTCAAGGATGAAATTTTGAAGACAGGGAGGAAAATAATTCTGATCAGAAAGAATTGAAGTAGTCTAAAGAGAGACATTTGGATGCATACAGCACTAACCAATAAACTTAAATTTTAAAATGTTTTGTACTGAAGATGAAAGCAAATGCAGATAAAAGAGGATGATCAGAGACATGGCATAGTTCTAAAAATAGCGTCAGGAGCACTAAAGCTTAAAATGGGCTTAGTCTGGCAAGGAAAGCTAGGGACAACAAAAAGTCTGGTGTGGGGTGGGGTGGGGTAGGTTTTTTTAGGCAGCAAAGTTGCAAAGTGGATAGAATGTCGGGAAAAACTGATTTTCTATCCTGTCTTGGACACTTACTAAATGTATGATCCTGGACAAATCACTTAACATCTCTCTTCTTTAGTTTCTTCATCTGTAAAATGGGGATAGCAAAAGTATAATGCACTTTGTGAGCCTTAAAGAGCCATGTAAATGCTAGCTCTAATTATTAAAGCTACATTAGAGGAAGGATGGGGATTAAGGAAGGGATGGGGTTTCTGCTTGGTGTACAGATGGATAACGACAATAGGCAGAGGGCAATGCTGCTTCATCTTTATTTTCCTCTCCACCCCCACCCCCCACCTTTTCCAGCTGAGGATAAAGATTGTTAACCTGGGAAGGGAGGAACAGAAGTGCCTGACAAATGGTCCTTTGCAATTGTAATTGCAATTACTTGGCTGAAGGCATAGTGCCATGCTTATCAGATTTGCAGATGACACCAAGCTGGGAGGGATAACTGATACACTGGGTGACCAAGTTAGGATCCAAAAGGATCCTGACAAACTAAAACATGGGGCTGAATCTAATAGTATGAAATTTTAGTCTTGCACTTGAATTCCAAAGAAATGACTTCATAAGTACATTGTAGGAGAGGTCCTGGGCAAGTCATTTAACTTCTGACTCATTTTCCATATCTGAAAAAATGGGAATAATAATAATAACCTTTAATTCACAGGATTGTTGTAAAGATAAAATGAGATAATATTTGCAAAGCAGTTTGCAAACCTTAAAGTGCTTTGTAAATGCTATCATCATCATCATGATTTTGAGGTAGTTTGTCAAAAAAAAAAAAGATCTGGGTGTTTTTTATGAACTGCAAATTTAATATGAGTCAATGACGTGATGTAGCGACTCAGGAAGCTAATGTGATTTTTGGCTTGATTGAGAAAGGTATAGCTTATAGGTATAACAGTCTGTTATGATAATATAGGAGGAAATGAAATGGGTCTTTACATTCACACTGTTTCCTCCTCTTCGGCTTTAGGGAATTTATTTTAGTTGAAAAATTCTGAGCTTAGTCACAATTGCTCCAGCTCCCAAGTTAGGAAAGTTCCTGATATTCTGCGGAGAGTTCTAGTTAACCCTTGGCCTCTTTGTGGTTGAGGCAAAATTCAGTTTACTTAGAACATTCAGATAGCGAAACACCATATATTATGGTGTCTGTGGACAAATAGGCATGGGCAGGGGAGACTGAGGAAAGAGCTGACCTTTTCTTGGGATTTCCATCAGCCTGGGTCCCCAGCTGGGATGTCTATAGAGCCAATGATTCTCCTTGATATCTCCAGTCTTTGAACTTTGATATCTCTTGTCTTGGTATACATGATTGTTTGATTTAATCAAAAAGTGTTTGCAACTAGTCAAGGTACCCAGGCCAAATGGGATGGATTTGACCCCACCCTTACACAGGCGTAAAGAGGTGTCAGCTCTACTATACTTTCCCCTGGTCAAACTGTATGTGGAGTATTTTGCTCAGTTCTAGGCAACACAATTTAACTTGGAGAGTATCTAGAAGAAAGCTACCAGGACACTAAAAAGTGTTTAGTCCATGTTAATACAAAGATCAGTTGAAGCAATTGAGACTGTTTATCCTGGAGAAGATTCAGGGAGTTTGTGATAGTGGTCTTGAAGTATTTAAAAGACTTCCGTGTGAAAGAGGGATTATTAGATTTATTCTGTTTCTTCCCAAAAGTAAAATAGAGAACAGGGGGTGAAAATTACGGAGAAAAGGATAGGCTAGGGAGCAAATTTAGGCCGAATATAAACAAAAACTTCCTAATGATTAAAATCAGAATAGGCTGGCTGTGGAGGCAGTGAGTCCCCTGCCATTGCAGGTTGTGAAGCAGAGGCTGGATAATCATTTACTGAGGATGTTGTAGTGGAACTTCTTTCTAAGGTATAAATTGGACTAGATGGTCCCTGAGATATCTTCTAAATCTGAAATTCTCTGATACCTGGACAGGTGGAAGTGGAGATGGGGAAGGGGACCAAAGTTATTACAAAGGGTCTGTCAGTCCACATGTGCACTAAACATACCTTCTGTAGAATGAATGAATGATGTCTCCCATGTATTACAGTTTTTCAAATATGTATGGAATCTGATGTGATTACTAGTATATGCATACATTTAAAAGCATTATTAAATCCATGGTAATTTTTTGTTATTTATTTTCTCAGTAAATAGGCATTACTTGTACATCTATTACCATGTGAGGGTCTGCAACATTTTTTCCCCTTGATTATAGCCTTTATTTTAAAAAATCAATTTTATTTTATTTTCAGTTCTGAATTCTCTCTTTCCCACCTCTCCTTCCCTTCCCACTGAGAAAGTAAGAAATATAAAGCCCATTATAAATTCCCACACTAGCCATGTCCAGAAATATCTGCAAAATTTTTTGACTGTAAAAAAAGATTAGCACTCACTGTTCTAGGTGTTAAAAGCCAAGTAGTACATGATGGTAGCAATTTGCACATTTTCTGTGTTTCTAACTCAGAAGATTTGAATAAATGGAGAAGTTCCTGACATTAAGCTTTATAGAATATTATATGTATGCATATTTGATAAAGTTCTATATCTCTATCTATCTATCCATCCATCTAGCTAGTTAGTGTTCTGTCTGGGATGATCTGGATTTGTCTTTTCTAAATGGCCAGTAAATGAACTAGATTTAAAGTCCCTCCCTTGGCACCTGTTGGGCTCATAGTATGCAACAGCTAGAAGGGACCTCATTTTCCTATAGCTCTTTCCCCTCAACGAGAACCCTGTGAGGTGGTTGTATGTGTGTTATTATCTTCATTTTATATCTGGGGCTTACAGCAGTTAAATGACTTGACCAAGGTCACATGACTCACAAGGGTCTGAGTTGGGATCCAAATCCCCTTCTACCCCCACCCCTCTGCCCCCTTGATGTTGTTCACTGACTGATGTTAATGGTTTGGGCGTTCTAAAACTGATAATAGGAACTTAGTTGTCAGAGTTAGAGATGATATTAAGACTGAACCATCTGAGGTTAAGGGTATAAGAACCACTGCTTGGTTTAGTAATTTAGGGTATATAAATCCTTTAATTAGTGCTACTTTCAGTTGAACACTTGGAAAAGAAAAGAAAATAGAGAAAAATTGGAAGTAAAGAAATATACTTTCAATTTCTGGGACACAGGAACACACCTGGAAACAGTTGGCCTAGTTTTTAGACAGAAAGAGAAATGATGATGAAAAGCATGAAAATGCTTGGAAAAATATAGATATCATCATCATCATCATCATCATCACCATCATCATCATCATTATCATCATATCTCATTTTCTCCATTGTGATGCAGCTGTCTTCTTAGGTTTGTTTTATTAATATGCAGTTCTAAATAGCCATTTTGCCTATGTCATAGGCATGGAAGGAACAATAAATAGCCATGTTATACAGTTCCATGGCTCTAGAATTATATCAGTGGCTGAAAACAAAATCTGAAGGACCTTCTCCTTCTTTGAGAAACATCATCTTCATATTCTTTGTGGCTTAATGGATCAACTTTCCCACTCGTTCAACAAATATTCATGGAACACCTACACTGAGCATAGACTTGTGCTAGTCACTCTCGGGTATGGGTGCTAGATAGACAAGAATTCATGCCAACCATAGGTTGACTCAAGTTTAGAAACCAACTCAGTTTCTTCCCCACCAGGTTTGAGTACACTTTGAAGGAAAATCATTAATAATGAAAAAAGTCACTTCTGACCTGAGCTAAGCAGAATAAGTCCAAAGCAAACCATTAAAAGATATTTCTAAGACATGAAGGTTTTGAGAACTTTCCCTTGGTAACTTCAAAATGAACCGAGCACGGTTCATCCAGCCTTTCTGTGAATGGACAGATTTCCTCATGTAGACCATAATAGTTATGCACAACTGGATTGGTTTTATGATGGCTGATTCAGTTGGTTAAGTCACCATAAATCAGTCATTGAACATACCTTCTCACCTCATGTATTAGCTTATGTCCCTAAAAATACCTTTACATTCACTCAACCAGCTTGTTTCTGTCCCAGCATTTTGAATTGTCTGCCAACCAAGCTGTTAGCCTGCCCCATCTGATGAATTTTTCAACTGCCCATATTTTTCTTCTGCTCAGGGACTTTCTGCAGCTGCATTCTTAGGGATTACTGTTGACAGTAACATGCCTTCTTCTTCACTTATGACAATTTCATTGCTGGCCTGAAGGCTTGCTAGCATTTGTGACACCAAGATGTAAAAAAATCTCAGCAGATCGGCCTCCAGAGCATGGAGCTCTCCAGGGTGTTACTTTTAAACTCGGTTTCATTGAGTCTTTTAAGCCCATTGCTCTGGGAGCCAAATGTATTCCTGGAGCTCCCAGAGCTATAGAGCCAGTGCAACTGTGGGCTTGATGAGGGCTTCTGAGCAATCCCCAACAATCCAGCTCATATTTGCTTTAGAAAGGTTTTAGCTCTGCTCCAGGCTCTCGCTATTTCCCCACGCAAATCCTTTATTCTAGCCAGATTGGCCTCACTGTCTCCCCCAAAAGGTCTTGTGTTCTCCTACCATTGTTCAAATACTTTCCCCTGCCTGGAATGGCTACCCCATTCTTTTTTATCTAAATCCTACTCATTCTTCAGGTGCCCTCTTCTTTCCTTTCTCTCCTTCGTCCCCAGATGAAGAGATTGTATTTTGTCCTAAATTTCTGATAACTTGAGAGGCAACAGGAAACTAGAGATTCTTGAACTGAGAGAATGACGTCATCAGAGTCGTGCTTTAGGCAGATGATTTTGTCAGCTTTGTGAACGATGAAGTGGAGAAGGAATGAATGAGACTGGAAGTAGGGTGACCTACTTGGAGACTATCCCAATAGCCTAGGAGAGAGGTGACAAGGGTCTTCTTGTGTCTGAGGCCAGCTTTTTATCCACTGTGCTTCAGTGCTTCCCAGTCTCAGGGGGATATCCCTGATTACCATTGTTTTGGCCTCACAGGAGCTCCTGGAACATCAGTTACGAATCTGACTTGTGTCACTAACATCTTGCGGGATGACGTGTCTCTCCGTTGCACCTGGTTTGTTGGCAAGAATGCCCCAGAGGACACTCAGTACTTCCTGTTCTACAGGTTTGTCTCCATTTGTTGCTCATTTGTTTAGTCGTCTCTGACTCTTGCTGAACCCGGGGACCAGAACATGCAAACACTGTCCATGGCGTTTTCTTGGCAAGGATGCTGGAATGGTGCACCATTTCCTTCTCCAGTGGATTAAAGCAAGCAGATCAAATTACTCAGGGTCATGCAGCTAGTAAGTGTTGGAATCCAGATTTGAACTCAGGTCTTCCTGACTCCAGGCCCAGTGCTGTATCTACTGAGCCACCTAGTTGCCTTATCTCTATTTACATATATTGAAATAACTAATTTTCTCCAGTTTTATAATACTTATCTGTATTGTAATTTAGGTTTGACGTATACACCGAAGAATGCCAAGAATATAGAAAAGATTCATGGAATAGAAATATAGCTTGCTGGTTTCCAAAGACTGCCATAGATAGACAAGGGCGCGGACAGCTGGCAGTACATGTTAATGGCTCAAGCAAACAAATTACCATCAAACCATTGGATCAGCTGTTTGACCTTCATGCTATTGGTAAGGAAGACTCATGGGATCATGGATCAGAAAGAACCTTAGAGGCCCGTGAGGCCAACCAGCCCCCTCATTTTACAGATGAAAAAACTGACTAAGACACTTAAGGGACTTGCCCAGGATTGCCTAGGTGTAGTATCTAAAGCAGAATTTAAACCCAGATATTTCAGACTCAGAGCCCAGCCCTTTGTACACTGTGCTACTCTTTATTCTCCAAATCTAAAGTTGGAACAAAAGACCTTTATAATAATGACTTGCATTTTGTAATTAAATAATTTTGTATAGGCAATATAGCTATCATATTTCAGAATTTTAAAGTTCTGTCACACATGTATATATTTTCATTTTACTCTTATGACCACTTTGTCAGTTTGGTCAAGAAGATGAGTTTTATCATCCCCATTTTATAGATAAAGAGACCTAGTGAAGCAATGATTTGTTCAAGTTCACACAGCTATAAATGGCAGAGCCTTTTCTAACTCTATTTCCAGTGTTTTTCTACTGTACCAGGGCCTCTCTATAAGAAGTAGATAAACAGGATTAGCACCCTGCTATGGTCCTGATGGCTGGCATCAACCTTTAATGGTTGTTTCAACATTTTCTTTGATTTATATGTCCAGATATGTATAAATAAGTAGACATGACATAATGAGGTCTACTGTGTTTACAAGACTGTGTATGCAGTTATGACTACTGACATAGTTTCTAGGATATCCTAAAATGTCAGTTGCAGAAATGTGGGCAAAAAGGCATAGGTGACAAAACTAAATCTAATGAAATGGGTGTCAGGTAGAGTGTGACAATTCCTAGAATCAATGAAGATTAGAGCTGGAAGGAAGCAAAGAATTCATCCAATCCACCCCGCACATTTGGCAGATGAGGAAACTGAGGCTCAGGAATAACTTGCCCAAGGTCGCAGAGTTATCAAGTATCACGTAGAGCTAAGACTCAAACTCAAGTCTTTAAGCTTCAAGTCTGGTGCTTTCATTATTCCATGGCCTTTGATTGGTGCACTAATAGGCTTACTTACTTTCACTTTATTAGCCAAGAGTGAGACTGTTTGATGATCTAGTGGAAAGGACCCAGCGCTGAGAGTCAGAAGAAATGAATTTGAATCTGAATTCTACCATAGGCAATGGTACAGCGGATAGAGGACTGGCCTTGAAACCAAGAAGACCTGGGTTCAGATCTTCTTTCTGAAACCCACTGGAAGGGTGACCCTGGGCAAATCCTTCCAGGGGTAGGGAACCTGTAGCCTTGAGGCCACATGTGGCCCTCTAGGTCCTCAAGTGCAGTCCTTTGACTGAATCCAAACTTCACAGAATGTCAATTTCAGTCAAAGGGCTGTACTTGAGAACTTAGAGAGCTTCAAGGCCACAAATTCCCCACCCCTACTTAACCTCTCAGTGCTCAAGGCCAGAAATGTCAAGCTCCATAAGCAGCCTACAAAACTGCTAAGTGCCCACTTAAATCAGATGAAATAAAATGTAATCAGGAAATGTCTAAAAAAAATTAAAATATAATACAACATATATAATGTTAATTTATGGCTTTCTAAGTCAATATGCTGCCCTCAGGGTTTCTATTTGAGTTTGAAACTACTGCTCCAGGCAGCTCTTTAATGTTTCAGAGAAAGTGTCAACCTGTATTGGTAGAGAAACTTTCCTCATCTAGGAAGTCACAGGTTCAGTCCCTATCCATACCTTCTACTCATTATTTGGGTAACCCAAAAGGAGGCATTTAACTTCTCCAAAACCAGGAAAATGAGCTAGTCAAATGTGATAGTGAGACAAAAAGCCCTAAACTTTGAATAGAGAGATTTAGATTCTAGTCTGGACTTTATTACTCCATTGGGTTACCTGGGGCAAATTATTTCACCTCTTTGGTCCTCAGTTTCCCTATCTATCAAAATAGAGGGGCTATACTAGAGCTCTGAAATCCCTTCAACTCTAATTTAATGATCTGACCTGTGATCTAGGGAGTAATACCTACTTCCTTTCTCTTCCTCATAGTGCCTCCTTGAGAAAGCCAAGTAAGAGAACAGATGAAAAATACCTTCAAAAGGGAAAAAGCTTTATACAGATGAATGATTCTGTTGAATCAGAGTATTTTTGTGCTAGATCTAATCTAACCCCATTATTTTATAGATGTGGTCACGAAGACCTCAGAAAGGGAATTGAAAAATCAATCCAAGGTCGCATAGTTAATCATGGGAACCTAGGTCCTCTCATTCCTAATCTGTGTACTTTCCATTCGTTCTGACTCATGTCATTAATTGTCTACCCTGACTGAGTCATATGGAGAATAAGGCCTTATAATGCAACTGAGAGGGCATTGTAAAGTCTCACTGAGAGTAGAGCCATACCTTTAAATTCTATTCAGAGTAGGGAACAGGGCATCTTTAAGGTTGAGGAAGGATTGTCCTGAGTGAGGACCCTATCCAGGAGAAACTTTACCCTTCACCTTGGAGATGACCTTGATCATGGGTAGGTATCTTTGTCTTACAAAGAGTGGTTCAATTTATGCTGCATCAGAGATAGTTAATTATGTTTAAAAATCCACTTGGTTGCCAGGATCCCTACTAACTCCTGCAGTGGTAGAAATTTCACATTCTATCCTAGAAATGCCTTACAATTTTGAAATGGCACCTGAGAGCATCTATTCTCATGAAATTGGTTCTTTTTTTCAAATCTAGATCAAGTGAATCCTCCAGTGAATGTCACTGCAAAGCTGGAAGGCAATCGTCTGTTTATACAATGGGAGAAACCAGTTTCTAACTTTCCTAGACAATGTTTTGATTATGAAGTGAACATCTACAATATAAGAGGGGATTATTCAAAGGTAATTCTAATAGATGGTGTTGCATGCATTTTGGAGGTCTTTGTTAATTATCTACTATTTCCCTGGTTGAACCATGAAGGCAAGGTTGGGGGTTCAGTCTCTACAGACTAGTTGGCTTCCCCTGGGAAAATTCTGTTGCACAGGCACATTTCTTTCCTCTCTTTCACTGCCAAACTCTTAGAAACAGTGGTCTCTACTTATTATCTCTACTTCTTTACTGTCCTTTTACTCCTCCATCCCTAACAGTCTGGCTTTCGGGTCCATTGATCTACAAAACTAGTTTTAATTTAAACAGTGACTTCCTACCAAAAAGAAAAATCTTTTCTCAATCTTTATACTCCTTGACATTGTTGTCTGTTGTTCATCCTTCATTCTCAAAGAGAACCAGACCAAAGACATCAAGAGGGTGATGTCTTGATTCAGAAGTGAATTAGATTTAAATGAGGCAGAGTTGTGTAAAGTTATCAGCATTTCTTTCTCCTCCAGACATCAATGTCTTTCGGAATCCAGTGGCAAGACATAGGTCAAGATGACTGGTAGTGGCCCCAGATGCAGTGGGAGACCTTGGCCTTTTTAAACTAAGGTCTTTCCTAGATCTCAGTTTTTCTGTGTTAATCACTTTTCCCTTAAAACTCTTAACTCATTTGACTTCTATGCCATAGGACACTGATGATTCACTTAATACCTCTACCACTGTATTCTATCCTTATTTATTCTTACCCCTAAAAGTATGAATTCCCCAAAGCTCTGTCTCCAAATAACTTCATGGTCTTTTTAAAAAATCTTTATATTCTTTCCCTTGACAATATCATCCACTCCTGTGCCTTCAACTTGTATCACTATGTAGGTCACCCTCATATCTCCAGCCCTCAAGTCCATTCTGAGCTCCAGACTCACATTTCCAGCTGCCTGATAGCTATCTTCATCTTTACATCCTGTTGGCACCTCAAACCCTGAAACTGTACTCATCATATTCCTCTCCAACCAAACCTATTCTTTCTCTTCTCATTCTCTTTTGAATAACAGTATTACCATTCTCCCAATGGATGAATGAATGAATCAATCAACAAATATTTGTTAAGCAATGATTATGCACCAGGCACTGAGTAAACAAAGACAAAATTGAAGCAATCATTACCTTTGAGGGCATTACATATAACTAGAGGAGACAACAAGTACGTATAAAAGAAATAAAAAGTAGATACAAGGTGATTGGGTGCAGAGGGGAGGTAGTAGCAACAGGTGAGATCAGGAAAGTCTTCATGTAGAAGGTGGTACTTGAGCTGAATATTTATTTTTAGGCAATTGGGGTTAAGTGACTTACCCAGGGTCACACAGCTAGTAAGTGTCAAGCATTTGGTCTGAGGTCAAAATTGAACTCAGTTCCTCCTGACTTCAGGGCTGGTGCTCTATCTGCTGCACCATCTAGCTGCCCCTTGAGCTGAATATTGAAAGAAAACTGAGAAACAGTGAGAATTTCTCAGAAATCTGAGAGATGGTGATAAAGAAGTTCTGTAGTTTAGGCATGCCAGTGCGAGAAAGTACCCCAGAAAGGCAGAGAAGTGGGAGATAGGATGTAATGTTTGGTGAACATTAAGAAGACCAGATTAGTGAGATCATTAAGTATATGAAGTGGAGTTATGTGTAATAAGACTGAAAAGGCAGGTTGGATCTCAGTCATGAAGGGTTTAAATAATAAAAAACCATCTTTCATATTTGCTCCTAGAGATAATAAGAAACCCTTGGAGATTATTGAATAGGCAGTGACTTTATTAGACCCACACCTTAAGAAAATCACTTGGTTGGCTGCCTGGAAGGTGGGTTGAAGTGGGGAAAGAACTGAAGCTAGAAGACCAATTAGGAAGCCATTGCACTAGTCCAGGCAAGAGAGGATGAAGGTCTGAACTAGGGTGATGGATGTATAAGGCAAAGAAGGGAATAGATTTGAGAGATATGGCAGTGGTCGAAATGACAATATTTCATAACTGCTTGGATATTTGGTGTCAGTCAGTGAGCATCAAGAGTCAAAGATAACACCAAAACTAAAAACCAGGGAAACTGGATGGATGGTGCTCTTGACAGAAATAGAGAAGTGGGTTGGGAATGGGTAAGGGAAAGTAATGAGTAATGAAGCATTATTGTACTGTAAGAAATGACAAATATGAGGAATTTGGAAAAATGAGGGGGTTTGTATGAAATAATACAGAGTGAAATAAGCAGATCCAATAGAAAAATATACATAAAAAACAATATAATAAAGTAAATGAAAAATGTCAGCAGAAAGAAGTTCAATCTGAATATTAGAAAAACCAGTGAAGGTCTCAGAGAAGAGCTAATGATACACTTACACTTCTTAGCTGAGGTATGAGAAAACTAGGTCGGAATGTTTTACACATTGGTAGAAATGTCTCTGTATAAAATGCTTTTACTTGGTTGTTTTTCTTTTTTGAAAGGGAGTGTTCAGTCTAGAAGAGGTAGTGGGAAGTGACAGTGAAGTAAAGTTATAAATAAGGTACATTTTGTTAAAAAAATTATATTTATCATCATATATTTCAAGAAATATTGTATTGTTTTGGCATATGAATTAGTGACATCTTGTAGGAGAACATTCAAGGCAAATTATATTAAATAGTACAGAACAATCATATTGTCTGCATCTTTCAATTAATTGCAAGCATAATAACATGGTCTGCTTTAGCATATTATTAGAAAATTTTGCCTTTTCTTATGCAGGGATGTCTTAGGTAGGTGTATAGCTTATTCACTCACGGGATGGGACTGCTTCATTTTTGATTTGTATCTCAAGAACCTAGCACACTGGCATGCATGCAGTAGGCACTCCATAAATGTTTGCTGTATTGAATTGAAACTAGGCATCCAGGTTGGCATTAATTGATATATTGATTGCCTTTCTGAGTAAAAATAAGGCATGAGAAGTTTTCCAATCTTTTGGTATTCTCTCGTATTCTCCCTTCTGTTGGGTATTTTGAGAACTGATCCCTCACCTGTGTGACCTCCAACATGGCTTTCCTTTCTAGCCAGTTGGCTCTTTTCACCCCTGTTTTCTTCAGTACCATTCTCATTTTCAAATGCTGGAGGACACCAGAAACTTTGATATTAGCATTAGAATATGCCAGTTTTATTGTTATTGATGGAGAAAAAGGTTTATTATAGAAATCATTACAGATCTGTCCATATTGTTGGTTTATTGTCTACTTCAAGTTTATTCTTTAATGTCTTTGAGATAATCAGATTTAATTAGGTCTTGCACTACATTTTTGTGTACTTGTTTTTCCTTCTATTGCCCCTTGGTAATATTTATAAGCATATACTGCTCATGATCTTATACCATTTTCCTCTGTAAGATTTAAAAACTGACTTTATATTCTAATTTGATGTTGCCTTTGGGTGCCATGTCCATTAAACCTAAACTTTCTTAGAAAATGATGGTGGTCTGTATCCACATCTATTCTTTTTTCCCTTTCTCATGTTTAATGGCAGAAGCTTGTTTAATTAATTCTAATTGGGCTTGCTTCAATTGCATGACATTTCTTATTTTTCTTCTTTCTTCTAATTTGTTATTGATTTGATTTTTGCTCTAACAAGTTGGTAGTTGGATTGTATATGGCTGATTTGGAAGTGACTCTTACATCAGTAACAAGTGGTTTTCTTTTTATCAAAATGTTTCCTTCCTTCCTTCCTTCCTTCCTTCCTTCCTTCCTTCCTTCCTTCCTTCCTTCCTTCCTTCCTTCCTTCCTTCCTTCCTTCCTTCCTTCCTTCCTTCCTTCCTTCCTTCCTTCCTTCCTTCCTTCCTCCCTTCCTTCCTTCCTCCCTTCCTTCCTTCCTCCCTTCCCTCTCTCCCTTCCTCCCCTTTCCCTCCTCCTATTCCTCCTCATGTTTGCATATCCAGCACCTCGAAATTTTTTTTTCAAAAAAGAAAACTTCATGATATATCAGCATGAGACTTCAGTATAGTCTACAATCCTTTGCTCTGTCTTATTTCTTATTCCTGAACCATGCTTTTCAATACATTCTTTATTCTTTCCATATGCCTGCCTTTGCAATGAAGCAAATAAGCATTGGAATGCATAATGATTTAATTTGGAAATTTTTCAAATTTTTAGTAGAATTTCAAAATCTCCTTATTCTCAGTGACAGTTGTCATAAACTTTACAAAAATTTTCCTGGGGATATTTTTTGCAGCTATTTAATATGAGCATTTTTATATGCCTAGGAGACATGAACAAAATCACCTCTGAAGAATTAAAAAGGGATATCACACAGAGGCAATAGAAGAGTGCATAGTGGGTGTGAGAAGGCTGCCAAGTACAACCAAAAATGAACTTTGAAGATTAGCAGACAAAAAGGATGTTATCAGACAAATATACGATAGGGAAAAATCAGTTGTTTCATAGTGCAAGCAAAAGGAATTCCTGGTAGACATCTTCTAGGTGCTCCACTGGTGTTCTGGAGCTGCCAGGAGAAACTGAGGAAGATTTCCAGCATGTTGGGGATACTGCCTTGGAGAGCTTGTGGGAGGACATGTACAGAAATGAGGCAGGATGGGTAGGAAGAGATTAGAGGAGCTATATTCTGTAGAATTGAAGGGGAAATCCCAGTTGATGATCACAAATCTATTTGAGTACAATGGAGTGTGAATGTGAAATGATGATGTGTTCTAAGAAATGATATTTCCTGTTGTCCTTATACACACACTATAACCAACACTGCCATCTTTCCTTTTTGCTACAATATCATTTTGCCTTTTGACATTATCTATAGTGTGAAAAGAATGGCTTATATAATTTAATTCTTCCAATCATTCATCAACTGTTTACTACAAAAGGATCTTCTATTTTGAGTACCAACAGTTAGGTTAGTGTTTATAATCTAATCCCCACTTGCCTTGTTTCCTATCACTGAGCTAATGTTATAGCACAAATAGGGAACTTGTAGAGGACTGACATCCATTTCATATTTTTCATTGTTGTGTGGGTAGCTATGGCCAAAAACTTCACTACCAAGTGGTCATCCTACTAATGATGAGACTCCCCATACTAAGCTAGGCTAGTTCTCAAAAAGCCAAGTTGGTCTTTTGCCAGAATGATATTCAAAACCTTTCTAGAATGAAAGATTCTGTCAGTTTGCACCCTGTTGGCATAGTCTTCAAGAACTTAGGTCGTTTACCTATCCTCTTGGACAAAGTGTTAGAGTAGTACATTGTAGAGGCTCCATATATAGTCAGAATTCAATACATTGCTTTACTTTCTTGTGAATTAGACATGGCTTTCCCCAGCCATCTTTCATTTGTATGTCTCTTGAAGAAGTCTTTCTTGGGCATCTCTATGCAGATGCTTCTCAGATATACTTGTCCAGCCCTAACTTCTTGAACAGGATGTCCTATGGACATATTAAATTCAATATGTCCAAAACAGAACTCATTATTTATTCCACAAACCCTCTCTTCTTCCTAATTTCTCTATTATTATTGAGGGCACCAACATCCACCCAGTCACCCTGGCTAACAACCTAGGTTTCATCCTTTACTTCTTACTTTATTTTATCCATTTATATATATTCTATTGCCAAGGCCTCTTGATTTTTACCTTTATAACTTCTCTTATATATGCCCACTTCTGCCTTTGGACACTGCTACTACCCTGGTGAAGACCCTCATCACCTCACACCCGGAGTGTTGCAATAACTTGCTATTTGGTCTCCCTAGCCAGTCTCTCCCCATTCCAGTCCATTCTCCACTCAGTTGCCAAAGTGATCTTCCTAAAGCATAAGGCTGACCATGTCACCCTCCTACTCAATAAACTCCAGAAGTTTCCTGCCACCTCCAGGGTAAAATGCCAGGTCTTCTGTTTGGCATTAAAAATGCTTCAATACCTGCCCCTCTCTCTACCTTTCCAGCATTCTTACATCACACACACACCACACACACACACACACACACACACACACACACCCATACCCATGTACTCCATGATCCAGTCACTAGACTCCTTGCTGTTCCTCACATAAGAAACTTATCACCTGGCATTGAGCCTCTCCACTGCTTCTCTCCCATGCCTGGAGTTCTCTCCTCATCTCCATCTCCTGGCTTCTGTCAAGTTGCAGCTAAATTCCCATCTTCTATAGAAAGTTTTTCTGATCCCCCTTAATTTTATGACCATCTATCTATTGATTATTTCCAATTTCTCCAGTTATTTGTAGAGTTTTTTGCATATTGTCTCCCGCATTAGACTATTTTTGCCTTTCTTTTTATCCCCAGCATTTATCCCAATGCCTGACATGTAAAAGGTCTTAGTAAATGTTTATAGATTGGCTGAAAATAGAGTTTTCAACAACAGTTTTCTTAATTTTTTAATTTGTTTGTTTAGATACAGAAAATTCAAGGAAATTCTTTCAACTTGGTAATTGATCCTACTTGTAAGCATTCTTTAAAAATAAGAGCTACAGTGCATTTCAGTTGTAGAAAGAATGGACTTTGGAGTGAATGGAGTCAACCTATTTATGTGGGTAAGCATCAGTGATTTCTGTTCTTGTTCGTGAATATAACTGTAAATTTTTATAACTCTAAAAACTCTTCCAGGGTTAGTTGATTGGTTTTAACTTCACCTGTATTTCAAATTTCATCTGGACTGATTTTCTAATGGCCTTCTGCCTTGGGCATTTGGTATTTGAAATGGGATGTCCTGTAGCATCTCAAATTCGATATGTCCAGGGCAAAACTTTTATCTTTTCCCCTAAATTTTACCCCCTGCCTAACTTCCCTCCACCTATCCATCCACTCACTGAAGTTCATAACTTCAGTGTTGTGATTCATCACACTCCCCTCATGCCTCAAATCCAATTAATTACCAAATCATGTCATTTTTACCTCTGTGGCATCTTCCAAATCTCTCCCCACCTCCTTAAAAGATCACCCATCAAGAATCAAAGGCAAAAATTGGCTTGCTCACCTACCTATGACTTTAGGAAAGTCCCAAACTTCACCATGGCCCATCTTTCTGACAGGGTAACAATTTTGGAACTTATTTACCCCAGGAGATAAGTGGTGTGAAGGTGAGACAAAATGATCAGGAACACTTCCATTCTTCCCTTGAAGCAAATAGCACCCTTGTAATCTGAAAAATGTGGCCATGCCTTCTTGAAACGGACTAGTACTAAATTTTGTCCTGGTCAGCTCAGTGCCAGGCTTTCTGCTGAGCCAGGTGGTGGGGCAATAATCTCAGGCCCTTGTCAGCTCTCTCCTGGACTATTGCAATGTTCTCCTAAGTAGTTCCCCCTACTTTGAGCCTCTGTCTTCTCTAAACCATCATACATAACTGCCAAACCTTAGATTTTCTGAAACATAAGCAATTCCCATGACATTATCCTACCCCATAAACTCTCATTGCCTCAAAGATCAAATATAAGGTCTCTGACAATTTAAAGTTCCTCACAACCAGTCCCCAACCTACCTTTCCAGCCTGTAATATATACACAATTCCCCTTTGTACCTTCTGCAATCCAACCGAAATGGCCCTCTTGTGCTGCATTTGACCCTCTCTGACTTCTCATCAGCTGTCCCACATGCCTGAAATCTAGTCTATATGCACCTCTAGCCTGTAGAATCTCTTGTGTCCTTCCAATTTAGCTCAAGCACCATGCTCAACATAATGTCTTTCCTGATCTCTTCATTTTTTTTTTCATGTTATCCACCCACAAGTTATCATGTATTTATTTGATGTCTTTTGCATCTACACACACACACACACACACACACACACACACACACAGACACACAGAGACACATGCATTCATATATATATATATACACATATATACACATACATACATACATATGTATGTATGTATGTATGCATGTATGTATGATTATAATCTCCAATAGAATGTGAGCTCCTTGAGGGCAGGAAGTGCTTCATTTTTTCCTTTGCATCCCCAGGTCCTAGAACAGTACCTGATGCATAGTAGGTGCTTAATAAATGTTTATTAATTGATTGTATGGATGGAATGTCACCTTGGAGTCAAGAACTAGAGGCAAGGATTGGTTTAGTCACTTACATATGACTTCAGAAAAGTTCCAGACTTCACTATGGCCCATCTTTCTGACAGGATAATTATCTCAGCCCCTATTTACCCCAAGTGATGAGTGTAGTTAAGGTGGCCCGTGATACTCAGGCACATTTCCATTCTTTCTTTGAAGCAAATGGGACCCTTGAAATCTGAAAATGCAGCCATGCCTTCTTGAAATGGGCTAGTTGTCCCCTTTGTACTGGTCAACTCAGTGCCAGGGTTTCTGTTGAGCCAGGTGGTAAGACAACAAACAGTCCAATGAGCATTCCCCATGGAAGTGGGAAATTAAAAAAAAAAAGTGACCTGTTACTTCTGTCACCATGCTCCACATTTGGCTTATGGGAAGAAGCCCTGATATTTCACTTTCTGTGTTTGTCAGGAAGCACACATTTAACCCAAACCTGTGAGCAATGCTCTCCGGGCTGACTTTAGACAGAGATGGAAGAGGCAGATGCCTATGAAGCAGAATTTGAGGGGTTCAGAGAGACCAGCTAACTCCCGAATATCTACCCTACCCTACCCACTCCAAATCCAGCCCTCTTTTCATGGCACCAGGCTGATTTTCAAAGAAATACACTAATCCTTATCCTATAAGTGTTCTAACTTGATTATCTCAGAATAGGATATTCTGCTTTGTTTAGGGAGTGGGTAGCTGGGATGGAGAAAGATTTGGAGTATGATGCTTCATCCTGGGAGGGGCAAACTGGCGCCATCTTGGGGACCAGGAATAAGGGTGCTAGAGGGAAGAAGGAATGAAAAAGAAAAGAGCCCCAAAGCCAGTAAGTCTAGCAAAGCCCTTTTCACTCACAGCATTTTGCTCACCATCAGTCCTGCCCTTTTTGCACACTCAGTTTGTCCTAGCCCATCCTCACGTAGACATAGGGCAAGGAAGTGGACTGTTACTTTCATTGGTATTGGGAATTTTCTGCAACTTATATTCATAGAGAGAATAGCATGGTGCCTAGCATAATAAGTGCCTGCTAATAGGAGCTTAATAAATATTTATTGACTGATGGATTGTAGAAAGTTGTCTAGGCAATGAGAGTGGCTTGCCAAGGTCACACAGCCAATTGGTGTCAGAGGCCAGATGAACCTAATAAAAACAGAGTGGTGCAGGGAGGAGGAGGAGGGGAACTCATAGCTGGGCACTGATCTTTATAAAACTTTGTTCATTTTAAAATACCTTCAGTAATTCCTAAAGGACATATACATTTTGGTCTGATTCTTTTGATTACTTGATTTTTTTCCCTGTAATATTTTACATTTTATAGCCTGGACTCCAGGGATATTACTCCAAAGATCCCTCCCTATACACATCAGCAGGGGAGCTGGAAACTAAACTGAATCCCCTTTTAATGAAAGTTGCAAGTTCTGATGTAGTAAACGAAGAGCTTTTAACTGAAGACTTGGGGGAAATGGCTGTGAATTAACACTTAGGAGATCTGGATTCTAGGCCCAACTCTGTCCCCTGACTCTATGTGACTTTGGACAAGTCACTTCCTCTGGGCCTGATTCCTTCCTCTTTGAAATGAAAGAATTGGAACAAATGATCTCTCAGGTCCCTTCCAAATTTAACCTTCTCTAATTCTGTGCCCTGCATCACCCTGGCCCAGCTGTGGGGTGAATAAAATTGTTATTTGTAATGAGATTTTATTTTAAGCCTCCCTTAATTTATTATTCACTCCCTGCCTTGGATATTTCTTATCATTATTGTTTCCTAAACAGCAGCTTCCTCGTTTGAATCCAGGCTCATTATCATTTCCCTCCAGGTGTACTTCAGTGCTGTTATCTATAGTGAATCCCATCTCATTTATTTCCACCAGGTTCTGAGAAGATGAGCTGATTAATATTCCTACTTGCCTTATAAATCCATCCTTTCTGGAATTTACTCTCCTGCTCAGTTTGGGATCATTAGTGAATTTAATCAATGCAGGCTTTCCATTTTCATCAAGATGATTAATAAACATAATAGGAAATCCAGGCCCCTCTGGGACATTGTGCATGACTGTTCTTTACCCCTTGCGGGGACAGCAATAATTATCCTCTGCTTGGGGCCGATCAGGCACTTTATTTCACCTTCTCATTCTTCTCTACTAAATCACTCTCTCCTCCTCTCCCACCTTGTCTTCTAATTGACATCCTATAGCTGACCATCTGCATATGAGTTGGTAATAGCATCAAATGAGATAAAACTTGAGGTCTTCCAAACAGTCTCATGCAGGCCTCAGCCACCCTAACAGCTTTTACTTATCTAGTCCTTAGTGATTTCTCCATAAGTGAAATAAGTTATTGAACAATCAATTTCATATACCTTATTTCACTTGATCCTCACAGCAACCCTGTGTAAGGGGCTCGGGCCTGTGCTATAACTGTTATCCTGGGGAAAAGGTGTGCCTTAGTGAGATGTTCAGCCAACCAGCAGATGGAGGGGTATATAGCCATTCATTTTTTTTTTTCCATGCAAAACATGTTTCCATATTAGTCATGTTGTGAAGGAAAACACAGAGGGGAAAAAAAAACCAAGAAAAATAAAATAACACAACAGTATGCTTCAATCTGAATTCAGATTCCATCAGTTCTTTCTCTGGAGGTGGATAACATTTTTAATGATAATTCCTGCAGAATTGCTTGGATCTTTGTATTTCTGAGAATAGCTGCTATTAATGTGTACTACATTTTCCTGCTTCGGTTCACTTCACTCTGCATCAGTTCATGTAAGTCTTTCCAGTTTTTTTCTAAAAGTATCCTTCTCATCATGTCTTATAGCACAATAGTATTTCATTACATTCATATACCACAACTTGTTCAGCCATTCCCCAATTGATGAGCATCCCTTCAATTTCCAATTCTTTGCCACCACAAAAAGAACTGCTATAAATATTTTTTGTACATATAGGTGCTTTCCTTTTCCTTTTTTTTTTTTTAATCTCTCTGGGGCACAGGCCTAGTAGTGGTATTGCTGGACCAAAGAGTATGCATGGTTTTACAATCCCTTGTAGCCATTCACTCATATCACCGGTGAATTACCCTAGCAGCTTCTGCAGCTATGGATAGACTGGGTATGGCAGAGGCTGCCTGCAGCCGCCACTCCCTGGAATGGGAGCACAAATAACAAGATGCCCCTGGGTATTCCATCAAACCAATCCAAAGCATTCCAGAGACTTTGTAAACAACTTCCTGCCAAATGGGGAAACACAGGCATCATGCCTGGAGGAAGCTCACTCCCTTGTCTCATTCATGCTTAAAGTATTTGGAAATGAAAACAAAATGAAAATCTCTGTTCTGCTGCTATGGAGAGAGATGGGAAGGGGTTTTCTCACAGCTATCCCTCTGTTGCTGGGTCCCCTGTTTTATAGTCAGTAATAAGTGCCTCCATTTCTACCACCCTAGGAGTGCAGCCATTAGCTAGCAGAATTCTTGATCTAAGCCCACGCTATATA